GATTTTTACCCAGTTCTGATCACCAGTCTCTTCTTCTGTGCTTGGCACAGGAGATGTAAAGACAGGTGATACAAAGACCTGATCTGCATGTTTGATATTCAGAGCAGAGGCAGCACGCTGGTGACATGAGGTGGTCAACAGGTGCCGTGTGTTTGGCTGACTGATGTTTGAGCTATCAGGTACTGTCACACAAGAAGCCAGGTTTTAAGCTTTTCACTCAGAGTATTCCCACGTGACCAAGGCTGAAGAGCAACAGGCCTTTGAAGACAGTTGATACGATTTGACTAAGAAATGTTCATACACACTGATGGGGAGATGGTTGGGCTGGTAAAGTTGTTGCTACAAATTCATGAGAACCTGAGTTTGGATCCCTGGCACACATGTAAAACAAAATAAAACAAAACGAAATGAACAAACAAAATCTGGCAGGGCAACAAGTGCCTGGAATTCTAGTACTGGGGAGGAAGATACAGGAGGGTCCCTGGAACTCAACGGTCAGCCAGTCTAGCCATTCAGGGAAGCACCAATGTGAGAGACCTGCCTCAGAAAACGAGGTGTTGAATGGGTGGAAGGCTTTTTTCTGAAGATGTAAGCCCTTTGAGAAAGCTTGGCGAGAGAAACAATCATTTCCAGTTGTTTCCTGAGGTCCTCCGAGAGATTGTACCACCTTGGTGCTCTGTAGCCCAGTGTGGCTCTTGGATCCCACAGAAAGAGCAGTGAGCAGGCAGGTTGAGGAATGAAAGGAAGGTTTCATGGTTCCTGCCTTGGGGGTGCCTAAAACAAAAGTGCTTGAAGGGCAAAGCATCATTTTGTCTGAAAGATTTTCCCTCTTCCATTTTGCTTGTTTACTTGGTAAGCGGACACATGAGCAGGGAATGTTCTGGTACAAATACATAGCCTGAGGGAGGCAGAACTTTTCCTGCTGCCAGGAACATCCCAAACAGAGCCTTGAGTGTTTAAGCAGCCCTGAGGCCACTCCGAGCCAGCTTGGGTAAATGTGGAGACAGGGGCTTAGTGGGTCTAGTCCCTGCTAGTGTACACCAGGGAGATGGGGGATCAGCAGCTTCCCCTCTGAATGAAGGGCTCCCATCTGTGGAAGACAGAACCTGCATCTGAGCTTTATCGAGCACAAATGCTAGCATGTCACAGCGGCTACACCAAGCCTGGCTGCAGGCCAGCGAACTCCGGAGTGGCTTTAACACGTAAGCCTGCCATCTTTTGAGTCAAAGGCAATAATGATGTCACGGAATCAGCAGGGACTCAGCCTCCGTTTGCTCTTGTCTGGTCCTTCACCCCCTTCATCTATCCAACACTAGGTGTTGGATCCCTGTTCCAGGCAGGAGGCTGGAGGCTAGTGGTAAGCCTCTCTCCTTCAGTGTAGGCTGAATCGAGAGACCTATTTGTAAAGAAAAGGATGCTGAGGTCCAGGGAGAGAGAAGAGAGGGGAGGAAAGAAAGGAGAGAGAAGAGTCATGGGAATGGGAGGAGGGGAACAGAGAAAATGGAGAGAGGGAGGGAGGGAGAGAGACAGAGAGACAGAGACACAGAGAGACAGAGACACAGAAAGTGAGAGAGCGAGAGAGAGGGAGAGAGGAAGGGAGGGAGGGAGGGAGGGAGAGAAGGAGGGAGGGAGGAAGAGGAAGGGAGGGAGAGAGAAATGAAAGGGGAAGCGGTTGAAATGAAGAGCTTTTGCACCCTGGGTGGTGACCAGACCCAGGGAAAGCCAAACCATCTTGAGACACACAGAGACCCTCTCCCTGCCCTTCTGCCTCCCCGTCTCTTCATAAACTAGAGGCAACCCTGTTAAGCTGCACCTGGTTTCTTGACCCATTGGAACCTTCAACAGAAGCTGTGCTTGTCATTTTTACCAGCTCGGTTTTGTGGATATTTGTGCGACAGCAGTGGGAACACAGCCTCTGTCCCTGCCATGGACAGCTGGCAAATATGAAGTAAATAAAAGTGGCCGGTCACAGCCTCCCTGAGCCTGGGCCTGGGCCTGGGCCTGGGCGTCTCTCCTTCCAGGTGTCGTGAGAGCAGCAGCTGGAGCGAGGCCTAGCCTCACTTCCTGCCCCTTGGCTCTTGCCCTACAATGTCTTAGAGTAGGGCTGAATGCTGTCCACACTGTGGTTCTGTGCAGGCAGTGGCAGGGGACTGGCCCACAGTGCAGGACGCAGGGCAGGCTTAGAAGAGGCTGTGTCTAGCTGAGCCCAGGGACTGGAGAGGCTGGGCTTTTCTGCCATGGGGCTCTCCGGCTTCTGTGGAGCACAGGCTGTTCCCAAGTAGGTGACTAGTTTCTCTGGGACTAGCTTCATGAGCGAAAAGAGGGCAATCAATTTAACACACCAAACTGTTTCAGAGGGCTGAGCTAAACTCAAAATAGAATCCTTCAAATATGTCTTTTGATTTTTTTTAAACCATGGATAACTTGAAAAACAAAACAAAACAAAAGAAAAATTCAGACATGATGTGGTGTACGATGCCATGTGTAATGATCACACACATGGTTGCATACATGTGGAGTGCTCTCCTCACGTGTATGTCTGCATTGTCTGTCCACAGCAGAACTTTGGATCATGCTCATTTTTTTCCTTTATATATTCCCACATATTTAATCATCTATTGACATTTTATTTGCTTCCTCCGGCCCCCATGGTGTGTGGTGTGTGCATGTGAGGATGGAATCCAGAGGTCAGCTTGTAGGAATTGGTTTTCTTCTATCACTGTGGGTCTGAGGGACTGAACTCAGGTTACCTGGATTGGCAGCAGGTGTCTTTACCTGAGCGGTATCACCAATCGTAACAGAGTGTGTCATTTTCTTTTCCTTTTTTTCCCAAAGGAAAGATGATCCCCAAGAAATCTACTTTTCATTTGAAGAGAGAAACTCTATTTTCTTCTTTGACTCTGTATTACTTTGCATTTTACCAAGTAATTTTCTATGTGTCATTTCTTTTGAAGTCTTGGTGATTCTAATTTGTGTCCTCAATGTATAGACACAGCGGCCTGAGGCTGGCAGAGATGTAATGAAGGCTTTTACTGTATCTTCTCTTTTCTCCTAACCCTATGTTTCACTGCTATAGAATTTCATCTGACACTTTGAAGCCTATGTGACTTGTACTAGTAATTTCTCCCCTTAGTTTACCCATCTGTGAAATGGGCTAATGCTACCTCTACCCATGGGGTGATTGAGAGACTTAAACATGGCAGCAGACATGAAGCACAAGCATAGTTCTTCTCCCATGGCTATCACATGATATCAGTTCTCGCTAATTCTTGGCCAACTTTGGAGTAGGCGTCTCCCTGCTCTGGGTCTTCTTCAAGTGGAGAAGTGAATGGACTGGATTTGATGGTGATTGGAATGTCTGCATTTTAATCCCCCGGTTCTTCAGGTATATGAAGCAGAGCTGACTTCGAAAAACTGGATTGCAAGGAGTAGCTGTCACTCACTCACTCACTCTTCTCGGTCCAGCAAATTAACAACAAACAAAACTGACATGAAGCCAGGCGGTGGTGGCGCACGCCTTTAATCCCAGCACTCGGGAGGCAGAGGCAGGCAGATCTCCGTGAGTTCGAGGCCAGCCTGGTCTCCAAAGCGAGTTCCAGGAAAGGCGCAAAGCTACACAGAGAAACCCTGTCTCGAAAAACCAAAAAAAAAAAAAAAAAAAACCCGACATGATATAGGCCATAAAGATGCCCCAGTCATTAGTTTTCTGCAATCTTGAAGAATCTAAGACCCATCCTGAGCCTCAAGTAAAAAGTGGGTAGCTACAGTACATGTCTGAGGGGCAGAGACAGGGGGACTCCTGGGGGCCTGCTGGCCAGCCAGTTTAGCTGAGCTGACAAACTGTAGGTTGAGAGACCGTCTTATAGATAAATAAATGAATAAGGTGCAGGGCTGATGAATGCCTCGGCGGGAAAGTGCTTGTTGTGTGAGCCTGGGGGCCAGAGCTTGATCCCCGGGATCCACTGAAAGGTGGAAAGAGAAACGACTCACCAAAGTTGTCTTCTGGTCTACATGTGTGCACTGTGGCTCATGTGCCCACACACAGACATCATGTGCACACACACATACACAATAGTCAAAGAAGTCAGATGTAGAACAACAAAGGAAGACAACTGATGTCACTTGGCTTTCACATGTGCAGATGAACATGCATGTACACACATCACACACACATCACACACACACACACACACACACACACACACACACACACACACTAAATGGGAGAGAGAATATATAAGGGAAAGAACATTGGAAGCCACATTCATCCTTTTAAGAAATGTCCACTCTTTGTGGGTGATTTTAATCCACTGGTCACAGAGCCCTTAAGACCTCATTACCCTTTGTTAGGGGGCTTTGACTTTGATCAGGTGATCTGAAAGTAGATGAGAGAGACAACTAGGAAGTGGGAGGGGAGTGGGTGGGAAGGGGAAAGAGAAGGTAGATGTGATCAAAACACATATATGGAGCTGTCACAGTGAAACCCATAAACACGTGTGATTAATACGCATCAGGGATTATAACAAATAACACATAGAACAATGAACCAAGTATCTGAACACTGTGAGTGTGGGCAGGATGTTCCTGCCATAGGACGGTCAGGTGCACATGCCCATGGAGATGGTGTACTGGCTGGTTTTGTGTGTCAACTTGACACAAGCTAGAGTCATCAGAGAGGATGGAGCCTCAATTGAGGAAATGCCTCCATGAGATCTAACTGTAAGGCATTTTCTCAATTAGTGATCAATGGGGGACCCAGCCTATGCTGGGTGGTGCCATCCCTGGACTAGTGGTCCTGGGTTCTATAAGAAAGCAGGCTGAGCAAGCCAGGGGAAGCAAGCCAGTAAGCAGCACCCCACCATGGCCTCTGCATCAGCTCCTGCCTTCAGGATCCTACCCTGTTTGAGTTCCTGTCCTGACTTCCTTCAGTGATGAACAGCAACGTGGATGTGTAAGCCAAGTAAACCCTTTCCTCCCTAATTTTCTATGTGGTCATGGTGTTTTGTTGCAGCAATAGAAACCCTAAGACAGCTGCGTCACCTGGAAGGCTTGGGCAGGAAAAAGGTGCCAGGGCATGGCCAGCATCTCAGTGTCCTGCTCTTGGCTAAGCCCCACGCTGGCTGCAAGGGTGCTGAGGACTGTCCTAAGTGAGGTGTTCTCTCGGTTCCAGTTGTACATATCTACTTCGGCTCATTTGTGCTGGACTAAAGAGTGGGAGACAAGTGTGGAGTTCATGCCATATCATAAATCGGAGACTTGGATGTGGCATTTCTATCTTCAAAGGTCTACTGGGAACCTTGTGGGAGTTTCCTGACTTGCCGGAGCTGATACTGAGGACAGGGATGGCTCGATGGTGGCTGATTACAGAGGAGTGGGTTTGTGATGCTGGAACTCAGGAAAGGTCATAGGGCCAGGGGAACTCTGTCTAGACTAGGCAGTCGACCAGTGACATGATCTGGCTGAGGACTGTGGCATGCCCTTTATGAATTAGTTGTAGTTGTCCCACCCTTTGTCGTGTTTTCTTGGGCTTCTCCGGTGTGAAGTGACCAGTCACCAACATCAGTTGACAGTAAAAGAGTCGTTTTTGTCTCTGCTTTTTGAAGATAGGAATGAGTTTAGAAGACAATAACCGGCCAAAGGAGACAGCAGGAGAGGGGTCTGAGTGGTGAAGGGCACCTCATCACACATTCCCACCCGTTTTTCTACCTCCTGCTTGGCAACTGAGAAAGCGAGGTGCCTGGGCTCCCCTCCCCCATTCTCATGCACCTTTTCCTCTTCGGTCCTTCAGACACTCTGTTGGCCCACTGACCTGCTCAGGGCTCCCCGCTGGCCAAAGTTCACATGCCTCAGGATGTCACGCAGGGTCTTTTGTGACCGTGGGGAATGGTATCGTCTTCCCAGCCTCTTCTTGATGTTCCTCCTTCCCTCCATGCTTGGCTCAGGCTACCAGGGCTGGAATCCATTTGGATATCATCTTGTTTTTCTTCTCTAGAAAAAAAAAAAGAAATAGCTTCCATTTTTAATGTCTCATGTAACACAAGCTGGTCTCAACTTTGTTATACAACCAAGGGTGACCTTGACCTTCTGATCTTCCGCCTCTACCTCCCTACACCATGATTATAAGCTTTGTGCCTGAATGTCTGGTTTCCACAATGCTGAGGACCGAATCCAGGTTCTACAGATGCTGGGCAAGTGCTCTACCCACTGAGCCACACCCCCAGCTTTGAAAGATTTTTTTTTCTTAACACAAACCTCATCAGGATCAGCTAGCAGAAGGTGGTGGCGGTGGGGACACAGAGACAAGACTGTCAAATCTTGCCTCCTAAAGTTGCAGTAGCCTCTGGGTGTGTATGAGGGATGACTGGACCTGGTGGACTTGAAAACTACCACTTTTCATATAATTTCCCCTATTGCATAGGTGTGGGGTTACTAGGTTAGAGTCTCTGGTCCATTGCCAAGCCTGGACTCAAAATTAGTCTCCAAGGTTGGGGTAGTGACTTTGCTCCCACAATTTATTATTATTATTATTTGAAATTAAAATATAATTATTCATTTCTCCCTTCCTTTTCCTTCCTCTATTCCCTACCATGCTTTCCCCAGCTCCCTTTCAAATTCATGGCTTTTTTTAAAAATTGATATTGTTTTACACACACACACACACACACACACACACACACACACACACACACACA